CCTGATCGGGGCACCCCTTGGTGTAACCACCGCCCCTGCCCCTGCTATAGGGGGACCCTGATCGGGGCACCCCCTGGGGTAACCACCGCCCCTGCCCCTGCTATAGGGGGACCCTGATCGGGGCACCCCCTGGGGTAACTACCGCCCCCACCTCTGCTAGGATCAGGGCACCCCCTGGGGTACCCCCGCCCCATTCCCTGCTATAGGGGAACCAGATCGGGGCACCCCCTGGGGTAACCACCGCCCCTGCCCCTGCTATAGGGGGACCCTGATTGGGGAACCCCCTGGGGTACCCACTGCCCCATCCCTGCTATAGGGGACCCAGATCAAGCTGCTCTTTTCCATCCCAACAGCCCGGTGTAGAGGGGCTGTTTCTTTACAGCAGGATGTAGAGGCCTTGAGGCTGTTTCTTTTTAAAGGAGCCCAGAACTGGAGAAAGAGTCCAGAACTCCCCTTCTAATGGCCCCCCAGACCTTTCCCCTCCGTCTAACACCATGGGCCTGATGAAGTTCTCTCCTCCTTAGGGGTCTGTCAGCTCACGTCAGGGGGTTGGCCTGTCTCCTCTTTCTAAAGTAGCCCCAGGAAAGAAACCTCTCTCCGGGGAGCTCTGTATTTCACACCTTGCTAAAGGTTTCCCAGGTTGGAGCAGTCCTTCCACCCCAACACCAGAGCGGTGGGTAAAGTTCCTCCAGAAAGGTGCTCCAGATGGGGGGTTTCCTCTGTGACCTCTGGGTGATCACATCACTGATTATTTCCTCATTCACTTAGCCCACAGTCCCAGTCCCTCTGGTTTTGCTGTGTCAGAGAGGAGCTTTTCCGGTGCTGAGTCTTGCTGAGTTGATTGGGTGCCCGCTCCTGTGCTATCCTCAGTGACAGCAGGCCAGGAGCCTGCCTCTCTGGGCTGGTGGTTGTGGTGAGCTGTGCTTAGAGAGGGACCAGGTGAGGAGAGTGGCAGTAATGCTCTGTCTCTCCATAGCACCGTCCATCCTAGGATCTCAAAGCACTTCGGACTCGGGAACGAATTAAGACCTCTGGGTGTTGTTATCCCCATTGCGCCAACGGAGAAACTGAGGCACAGAGCAGTCCGTGATTTGCCCAAGGTCACAAAGTGCGGCAGAGGCAGAGCCTGTGAGTGGGCAGGATGGAATCAGGGCAGAATTTGATTGGTGCTTTTCCTTGAGGCAGTGACACAGCCAGGGGATGAAGGTGCATTTCCCAGGACCTCAGGGACCCTGCATTGCAACTTTTCCCATGGCTGCGGACGTGTGAGCTGGGTCCCACCTGGGGTTGTTCCATCTGGCTTGCTTGAGAGACGGGGTCCCACATCACAGAGTCACAGCCGGAGTCCCCCCTCTCTCCCAGGGCATGACTTAAGGAACCTGTAACTCCCCTTGTACCCGCTCTCCCCACCACCTTGTGGGTCACACCCTGATAAGATCACGTTGCTTTAGGAT